TGGAGCGTGATTAAACGAGTTGGAGGGCATGGCCGGGACAGCTCCATCCCAGTCCTGGTTGACCCCGATGGCATGGAATGCACCAGTCTTTGTGGTCCACTTCACAACAATAACACACACAGAAGTCTCTGCTGTGAGCACGGTGGCTCGGCAATGGCTTTATTATTGATATTATTATATCTCCTTCCTGATATTTTTTTCTTTTTTTTTCTTTTTTGAATAATTGTACGCATAGGGCCTGATATCATAAGGAAAATTAGCACAAGACACTGCTGCTACTGTAGTCGCACAGCAAAACACACAGAAAACGACAAAATGTTACAATGAATGTAACAACACCCGTCCAAGCTAAAGGACCGACATCCCTGCCCCAGGACGGCATCTCGAAACCCCCACACACTCACCACACGGTCATCATCCAGCTTCAGTTCAATCACTGTATTCTTCCCCTGCAGACTCAACCCCCCTGTCACTAGCCATACAATCTGAAGCTGTATGTAACCATACAATGGCCCACGACGCACACACCACCCCTACGTTTTTTAACTAAAAAAGAAAAGCAGTCGTAACTGCAACAGCCACATGGCCAATAAGAAAAACCAATACGATAATATATCGATAAACACACACCCAGAAGTCAGGGGTGGGAGGGTGGGATACAAACTGCACCAACGAAAAGCCACTGCGAAGTGACAGGAATGCGGTCCAGCACAACATTTTTGTGGACGCAAAAAGTTGTGGGGAAATCCCAAAATCGGTGCGATTTTGCATGAGCCCAAATGTTCAGGTTACCCACAAAGACACAAGCTTTCCAACTCTCTTTGGCCGTTGGAAAGCGTACCAAAGCCACGACAAGGCTAACGTCATCGGGAAGTACTTTGCCCAGAAGTGCAGCCTAGACGATGACTTTGCAGAACAGTCGGGGCCGTTCCCGCATGTCCGCCAGCGCACCGCAAATACGCTTGCAACAGTCCACTTCCGCCAAGCCACCGTACGCCGGACACTCCGAGCCCTGAACCCAAGTAAAGCCACAGGGCCTGATGCAGTACCTGCTAGAGTGCTGAGAAATGTGCCGACTCTCTGGCCCTGCCCCTATCCAAGCTGTTTACCCTGTGCTTCTGCAGTGGTCATCAACCTGCCATGTGGAAAGTTGCCAACGTCGTACCGGTACACAAGAAAGGCCCCAAGTCGAACCCCAGAAACTACCGACCGATATCACTACTGCCCATAATGTCTAAGTGTATGGAGTCCATCGTGAACCGCAGCCTGTCCAACTTCCTGAAGAAGAATGACATCCTTTCTCACAGGCAGTTTGGCTTTCGCACTGGACTGGGAACCTCTGATCTGCTGATTGCTCTTCAGCATGAGTGGAGCCTTGCAGCTGCCAGTGGAGGCCTCGTCAGGGTACTCGCAGTAGATATTGCCGGGGCCTTCGACAAGGTCTCGCACAACGGCGTCCTCCACAAGGCTGAACGGTGCGGCATAAGTGGCCTCCTCCTTGCCTGGCTCCGGAGTTACCTGACAGACCGCCACATCCGTGTCGTCATAGGTGGCCAGTCTTCACCGACCCACCGAATCCAATCTGGCGTGCCACAGGGCAGCATCCTCGGCCCCACCCTCTTCCTTCTGTACGTCAACAACGCAGAAGACCACCTGCCTGATGGGGCGAAGCTGGCTGTATACGCCGACGACACAACTCTCTACAAGTGCATCACCACCCGACTCAGACTGCCAGAAGAGACAGCAATCCTCCAGCAGGCAGTAGACTCACTGGCAGAATGGGGAAGCAGGTGGAGGATCAAGTTCGAGCCCACAAAGTCGCAGGTATTGACCATCAGCCACCACCGCTCGCCACCCCCCCCCCCCCCCCCCCCGAACGCAATACGCTTCCAAGGAGCAGTTGTGCCAGAAGTAGAGGAGCTCAAGCTTCTTGACGTCACCTTCGACAGGCAGCTGGCATTCCGCAGCCATATCCGACAGCTTGCAGTACGCGGAGCCCAGCGGCTCGGCTTCCTCCATAAGGCATCGGCTGTGCTAGACCCAAAGCACCGGGCAATCGTGTACCGTGGCTTTGTCCGCCCTGTGCTAGAGTATGGCATGCTGGTGTGGATGAGCGCAGCCCCCACCACCTAGTACCTTGGCCCGCCTCACTGCCATCCAGCGCCGTGCCCTGCACATAATAGGAGATGGTTCATACCTCCCGAGCCTCGACATTCGCCGTACCGTAGCAGGGCTCTGCTTTCTGTACAAGCTGCACTTTGTGGAGGGTCCGGAAATGGTGAAAGCCATTCTGCCACCATCAGCAGCCGCACCGCAACACCGCATGCCTACTCGTGAGACAACCAGATCTGCAACACATCATCCATCGCAACTCACCAGTATCCTTCCTCCTCAGGCACGAAACAACACGCTCCGCTCATTTCCCCACTCCCTCATCGCAACGTGGAATCAGCTCCCACCTACCCTTCTGCAGTCTCCCCCTTCTCGCAGAGGCATGCACACGTTCAAGAAAAACGTCAACGACCACTTGCGGCGCAGCAAGTGGGAGTGGGCCACAGACAGGCTATGATCTCTGCCAACACACCAGCCTAATGATACTGACTGCACTCCAGCTCCCTTCTACCCCTCTTTGATCCCCTTCGCTCAGCCTTAAAATCCGATTATCAGTTCACTCCATCTTCCTACGGTGCACTGCTTTTACTATTGTTTTGTCCTATCCCAATCTCAAATTCTCCCCATTATCGATTGCAAAGCCGGTGCTCCCCTCTTGGATGCACATGTTTCTTTTCTCCTATGTATCGGCGCACAGGAGTAACGATGATTCCGAGACCTTTGGTCGGAGGAGATACTTTTGCCCCGCCCCCACTTCCATCCAATATGCCACCGCCCCCGCTGTGCAGCATCTGATGGTACTGTGGTATTTAGTAAAAAAAAAAAAAAAATGTTTCCACGATCATGTACCCAATGATGACCGACATAGTGTGCGCCGCTCACTCCCTGGATAATGTCGGGAAAGGATTTGAAACGCCCACTCTGGATGCCTTTCTTCGCTTGTGGCTATCGCTATTCAGCCACAGCCCTGTATCTAAGTTACAATGGAGAGCAGGGACTGGAGAAGGGATCAAGTCGTATAGTGCCACGAGATGGTGGAGGTGGTGGGAAATTTTGCGGCAGCTCCAGAGACTGTTCGACTATGGCCAGCTCTTCCTGGAAGCACTTGAGTCAGCGCCATCTACACACCGCCATCTTCTAGATGTGCTGAAAGATGTGCAACAACTCCAGCAGTTGAAAGTTCAGCTTGCTGTAGTTGTGGATGCTGGTCAGCCATTCGTGTCCCGCACGTGCCTCCTAGAAGGGGATGGTGAGCTTGCCACCCTTGCGTATGACTATCTTCAAGAAGTTTTCATCATGCGCATTGCATAACTATCCTTTGACAGCAGCGTTGGTACACCAAATGGCAGATAGGGATGCTGCTCTGGAGCAGAACCTGATGTCACAAGCAAAGCAGTGTGTCCGCCCTGCAATTGACTACTTTCGACTACGGTTTAACCACGTTGACAGCCCACTGTGTAAAGACGTCAAGGTCTTCAAGGCCTTGAGGATGCTCCACCCTTCGAAAGTTTCCACTCTCAACCTCACACCGCACCGAATTGATGATCTGCGCTGTCTACCTGCTCTTGACAATGATGACTTCCTGCAGCTTTTGAAGGATGACTTACCTACGTACCTCACCGCCGAAGCAGAGAGCGGAATGGCAGATGGTGAAAGTCAGCTCGCCTGGTGGAAGCGTCAAACCCGTCTGTGCAGCTGGCAAACAGCTGCAAAAGCTTCTTTTGCCTTGCTTCCATCCTCTGCACCTGTGGAGCGCGTGTTCGCACTACTCAGAGCATACACGAGCCATCTTCAAACACAGCTTCTCGGAGACCGACTCAAGGCAGCGCTTATGTTGCAGTATAACCGTCGCCAGGCATTGTCTTGAGCATCTGCTGGGACCGTGGAATTAAGGTACATTCCACGTAGAATGTTTGGGACATGACTGGGTTTTGTGTTCCTTTTCCATTAATCTTACCTGTGACACAATCCTTGCTGTCCCGATCATAATGTACTGCTTGGCCACTCCTGCATTCTGGCTACGTCTGTCAATTTTCGAAATGATTCGATGGTTTTTATTAACCGCATTAATTTTAGTTATTACTACATGGTCATTAGTTTGAGTGACAAGACTACATGTATGTGTTGAGTGCATCTCTGACTTTAAAGCCACAGATATTCCTCCCCTTTCATCACAAATCAAGAGCATTATAGCCCGGCTTTCGCATTATCATCAGCATTATGAGGTATTTATGATTAACGCCGCGGATATTCTTCCCATTTCATCCCAAATCAAGAGCATTATAGCCTTGACGAACCATTATAATCAGCATTATATGGTAGTTTTGAGAGCATTATGGTTAGCATTATACGAACATTTTCGGAGCATTATCCGCTGGATCCTAACTGTAGCGTTGGCACGCTAGCTGGTGATCACACAGCTGCAGCGTGAATCACTTTCAATGTATTGGTCACGCGTGTTGCACCGCACCGCACCCCGCACTTGCAACTCTGTACCGTGCTTGCAGATCCATGACATGAATAGTAACTAGTCTCACTACATTCAATGTTCGACCTTAGAAATACTAGTCTAGACATTTTGCTGCACTTTCAACCGCCTTTCATTTACGCCCATTGCCCACATCGTATTCAGCTCCTTCTTCTGCATAGAACTAAATACCATTCCTTGTGCAGTGACCCATTCTGCTGCCCACACATCTCAGAGCAAGAAAGGAGAGACACAATGAGGTACATGTACCTGTACGGGCAGTCTGCGGCCATTAGTCCATAGCCGGAGTTTTTCCTAGTAAATATTCCGTTGACACCTGCCAACTCCCGATGCCATTCAGTGTGTCATCCCCGGAGCACGCTATTGCCCTAGCGCAGTATACAGTATCCGCGGGATTTGT